CATGTCGTTTCCACACACACAACATACTGTCCTCCCTCCCCACTACCAATTCAAAGCCCCCTGTCCTGCAAATGCCCCCGTGCCAGCCAACCTCCTCCAATAGGCCTTCCTTGGTTATGTCAGGGCCCAGAAAGCTCTCCCTCTCTGTACTCAAAGTTGACCATCATCTGCTCTGTTCATCTGACTTGCCTCAAAAATCAGTTTCTTTGAGAACTAGTAAATATTAATTAATATTTGTTTATTGTTTTCTATACCTTTTCTCTTGACCAGTTTTATAAACTTATAACATCTCTAAGCTAAAGTGATCTGAACTGCAGTTAATACAGCACTGAAAATCATTACTTTCCCTTTGTTTCTCTCTATAGAGAGAATGTAAGAATGTATACATTCTTACAACAAATGGAAAAGATAACAATTAATATAGTAAGACTAATTTCCTAAGAACCAAACTGAAATCTATAAACACACTTTACATAAATGATCTATAAAATTTTACATAAATTATCTATAAAAGATAATTCACTGAAGAAAAATTGATAGTTTATCACTATTGAGAAAGAATAACTTTAGCTTAGTACTATCTTTCACTAATAGCTATTCACTCTAAATTATCATACAATACAAATTAATTCTGTATCTAGACAAATAAAAATAAAAGTGAAGCTTTTCGTAGTCTTTAAATTGTTATCCCTGGTATATGAAATGCTTTGGAGACCTCTTGTGGTCAAAGTTAAAAAATACAAAACAAAACAAAACCCCTAATACGTACTTAAAATGGATATCCTGTAATTCCAAAGCATTCTGCCTTTTCTCACAAATTTTATTACGTCTTCAGTATTAATAAAATATCAACCACTAAGTGACAAAAAAGGCTGCTTTTAACTTCAGGTTTATAGTGTAAGAAAAAAAAAAAGGAATTCTAAATCTGAGACTCAAGAACCTACCCATCACTATTTAAAACAAAGAAGATACCACCAGAAACACAAAACCAACTTTTCTCCTTGAAAATTCAATGCTATGTCATTTACTGGTAGTAAATACGGAACAGAGTTTTGGCAAGCTCTGTTCTTCATACCCTAATTAAAAGCATTCCCAGGCTTCCCTGGTGGTGCAGTGGTTGAGAGTCTGCCTGCCGACGCAGGGCACACGGGTTCATGCCCCGGTCCAGGAAGACGCCACAAGCCGCGGAGCGGCTGGGACCGTGAGCCATGGCCGCTGAACCTGCGCGTCCGGAGCCTATGCACCGAAACGGGAGAGGCCACAACAGTGAGAGGCCCGCGGACTGCAAAAAAAAAAAAAAAAAAAAAAAAGCATTCCCGATCCCCGTTGCTAACTTTTTTTTTCTTTTTTTTTTTTAAACAAGGCTAGGAGTTGTATCTCAGGTTGATAAAGGCTAAATTTTATGGATGTTAAAGTGGACCCACTAGCATTTAGGGAGAAATTAAGGTAGGACCACACTTCACACAGTAAAGCAAAATAAAAGTGAATTAGAAGTGGAATGTAAAAATTTTTTTTAAATAATAAATCGACTAAAATAAAAGTAATCATGTAAATGTTTTCAGAATAAGGACGGACATTTCTAAGCATAAAAATAATGGAATGCTACCATTAAGTATGGAGGCTTAATTGGTCCAGGCAGTACACTAAAAATACAGAGAAATAGTGAATTAATATATAATCAAAAATGTTTTTTCAAGAGAGTCAAAAAAAAAAGGAAATCCCCAAGGGCCAAAAACCATATGAAAATCATAGCTGTGGATGGGAGATGACACCATAAAGGGCCATGCACAGAGAGTAGAATATGAAGGTCCAACATACTTCTAGTAGGTGGTCTAGTGGAACAGAGGGGAGAGGCAGTATTCAGAGAGATAATGGCTCATGGGAATAACAGAAAGAACAGCTTCCATCTATAGAGCTTTCTATGCTGGGTGCTGTTTCAAGCACTTTGCCTTAATTTTAACTTATTTAATCCTCACAGCAATCCTATGAGGTAAACACTCTTACTTTCTCTATTTTACAGAAAAGGAAACTGAAGGACAACACAACTGAGTAATTCAACCAAAGTCACTAAGAGGAAAGCCAATTTTCGAACCCAAACCCTATGTCACAAGAGCCACACTGCTTGACCTTTTGACTTCTGAATCTCTACTGCTCCATTCTATACCTAGATATAGATCAGCTTTAGACTACACAGAAATGTGGATTAATTGTTGACTGTTTAGTTCATTATGTGAATAAAATAAAAAATTACATGTGGTTAGTAAACACAGAAAAAATTACATATGCCCAATGCTAACCAGAAAAATACAAATTAAAACAAGACAAAGGCCGTCATCAAATTTGGTAAAACCCACATATGACACCCAAACTATCTTTGGTATGCCAAATGGCTTCTGAATCTCATTTGATGAGTAAACATTTAGGAACATCCCCAGGCGATGCTGCCTGCCAGCCAAAAAATTCCATTTTGGCAATGTCTTTGTGGAATGTTTTAATGTTTTATTGAGTTTTGCCTTTATTACTTTATAAAAATAAGTGTTTTGTGACCATCTAGAGGGGTGGGATAGGGACGGTGGGAGGGAGACGCAAGAGGGAGGAGATATGGGGATATATGTATATATATAGCTGATTCACTTTGTTTTACAGCAGAAACTAACACAACAATGTAAAGCAGCTATATTCCAATAAAGATGTTTAAAAAAAAAGAAGACTTTCTAGTTAGAATGCTGTGATTATACTGTAGCTAGAATTGAATATATCCAATTTTCTGAGAATGAATAATAATCATAGTATGAGATATGATAATATAGTCTCAAATATTTTGTCTAGTTAAAAAAGTGTTTGCCACCAAAATGGGACAGATAATCTATGCCAACTGAAGAATTTCCACTTGTCTAAATTAATTTATACATTTGTCTGTTGGGCATTATATCTTGTGTGAAAGATTTCTAAATGATGTGCTGTTTCAAAATCTTAAAGTGCTCTTCATTTCTAGCTGTTGTTCAGCAGTACCGGTTTGAATCATAGTATCCTACGAAAAATAAATCATAAATTGTGAAAATAAATAAATGAAAGCTAAAAAAAATAAGTGGAAATCAGAAAAACCAGAGTGTTGATTCAACTGATCAATTTTAATCTCAATTACATCTAATTTAATCAAATATACACTCAGGTATGAAGGAAAATTAACAAAATCAAAGATATAAAATATGGGAAATATAGTTTTAGAAGACTATCTTTCAAATCTTTAGAGATTTTATTAACTTTTTTAGCCCTCCAAAGGCAGCATCCCTTATCAGTCTACTTGTCTGACTTTTAATTATCCAAGTTTGAACACCGTCAGAAAAGGATTAAGAACAAAATAAGGGGAATTCATGCAGAATTTTTCATCTATCCCATTGGCAGAAATTATTTCAGTGATCACTTCCCATGCCAGCAAGGGCTCAAACAACCTGCCTATACTATAGTGGTAGAAGTATAAATTAATATTACCAATTCTAGCAAGCAATCAAGAGTTTTCTAAATGTTTACACTCTCTAACCAATTAATTCCACTTTTAGGAATTTAGCTTAAGGAAATAATCAGAAATGCACACAAATATTTCTATGCATGGATATTCATCATAGCAATATTTGTAATACTGAAAAAAATGAATACAATCTAACAAAAGGGGAATAGGTAAATTACTGTATGATCCACTTATATGACTGAATGTTATGTAGTCATCTTGTCTTCACAAATACTCACTGAAATATTGGCAGATGCAATGATGTTCTCTAGAATTTGCTTCAGATAAATAATCCAGGGAGGGAGAGCGTAGAGTTATAGATGAAATGAGATTGGCTGGTTGAGAAATATTGAAGCTGGTTGATGGATTCATGGGGTTCACTAAACTATTCAGTATAATTTCATATACATTTGAAATTTTCCATAATAAAGTAAAAAAATACATGGGGAATTAAAAGAAAAACAGAATACAAACTGATTTTGCAACATGAATCAAAGTTTATAAACAAAAAATGATGATACATATACACAGAAATAATACACCAAGATGTTTCACAGTAGTTATCTCTGAGTTATAGCTTATTTTTATGGTTTTTTTTTTAACTCTCAACTTTTCCTAAATGAATATGGATTAGAGTTACAATCAGAAAAACATATTTTGAAAGCTACTTTGAAAGAATTTCAAGTCAGATGAAAAAGGAACATTCAACTCGAAGAACAAAGAAATATACAGAACTTCACTGAATCAATTAATTTGATTTTCCAACTGATTTGTCAACCTATTAAATATAAACCTTCGTGGGCTCTCCAGCCTAGTCTAAAGTCCGAATTCCTCAATATATAAAGTATTCTTCACCCAAGCCCCAGCCCACCTTTTCAGTCTCTTCTCCCACCAAACTCCTTGGGTAATAGTACAGAATCTTCTCACCTAGGCACCTTCATGTCTGTCATGCAATACATCATGTTTTGGGAATCCAGTTAGGTCTCTACACATCTGCCTCTCCTGCTGGATTATAAACTCTGCCAGACACATATCACAAGCACATCTTCTCCCTCCATACGCCATCGTGCCTAGCACACTGCCTCATAAATAAGAGGGGTGACCATATATCTAGTAAATTTAACTAGTGTACTGAGCCACAAATTGAAACTTGCAGCACAAATAAGGCATTCCCAAAATTATATAAACTTTCTAAGGAATGATTATCTGCAGAAACTGAAAATTACCAAATAATATCATTTAATAATATCATAAACCCTTTAATATCAAATAATTTCATTAAATATCATAACCCCCTTCAAAAAGAGCAACTTCTAAAAGCCTTCATTAAGGTGACATTAAGGGTCATTTTGGGTTTCTTTTTCAGAATTTCCACTACTACTGATGAAATATTTTTATAAAGAAAAATCATTTTTAACAACTTTATTATCAGTTTGGGAATCAGATCTAAGTTTCAGAATCAACATGACTTTCCAGCAATGTGCCAACTCACCTAACAGCTGTAGCCTTCTGGATGAGCATCTCGGTTTGCTCTGACAAGTCTGATGGAAGCAGAAGCTCCACTGGCTGCAGGCATAATATCCGAGTTTCTAGCTCTGAACGGGAAGCGGAGTCCTGGAAACTGTCAAACACAACCTCACCCGTGGCGGGCTGCACCCCCTAAAAACAAAAATATAATGGCACAGAAAATATATATTTTTCCCCATTATAACTATGACACAGCATTAATAAACGTGGAAATAGTAAAGACGACATTCACAAGTATGTACTTGCATTTCTAAAATGTCTGAAAATCTGTCTGCTTTCCAAGACTCTTAAATAAGAAGTCAGACTCACCAATCTAAACTATGCTAGATGGGATTTTAGAGAGACACCCTGAGTCCAACTAAGTCCTGGATCTAACACACCAGACTGAGTGACTGTGACAAGTCATTAAACCCTCCTGGGCCTCAGGGTCCTCCTCTGTAACTGGGGATACACCAGCCTACTTCCCTCACAGAGTTATTGTAAGGGTCAAATCAGAAAACAAATGAACACCTTCTAAGCTATAAAGTACTGTACAAATAGTGGCTGCCAATACTGAGAGTAAGAAGTGATATGTTTCTAGAAACGTGGCCACCAGAGTAGGAGTAAGATACTATTTCAATATATAAAATTAATCAATAAAAAATATAGGGGGGATGGGAATGTTTGTCCTGAAGGTGAGGTCTGGGTGGCTCACCACAGCATCCACTACACAGCTTTTCTTTCTGGCATGTTAATTTGTTTATTGGAGTCACATTCTTTTGTTTTTTTTTTAATTAAAAAGATTTTTTTTGGCTGCATTGGGTCTCCGTGGCTGCACGCGGGCTTTCTCTAGTTGCAAAAGCCTTCATGAAATCTGACATGTTATCACTTTGGGACCGCTGGCCAGCTGCTCCTGACTTGGCCACACGAAGGCTCAGACTGTACCAGCCTCTGAACTGAAGAGAACTAACACTATTCGCATATCTCTCACTACCATGAATGCGAGGTATTTCAATGAAGAGTATCAGGAGGACATCTACAAATCCCAGACTGGCATATGCAAGTTCTGAGGAATGGTGGAATAACCCAATGTATCTGGGTGACCTTTGGAGACAGCTGAGGCAGAGCTACAACAGGGCAGTGGCTGACACCCAACTCATAGCCCATCTTCTCCAGCTGTGTGGCTGATGGGTCACGGTATGCTGTCAGGCCTGAGCCTCTGAGGTGGGAGAGCCGAATTCAGGACATTGGTCCACCAGAGACCTCCCAGCACCACCTAAATGAATCTGTGAGAGCTCTCCCAGAGATCTTCATCTCAATGCTAAAACCCAGCTTCACTCAACGACCAGCAAGCTCCAATGCTGGGCACCCCATGCCAAACAACTAGCAAGACAGGAACACAACCCCACCCATTAGCAGAGAGGCTGCCTAAACTCATACTAAGTTCACAGACACACCAAAACACACCACCAGATGCAGTCCTGCCCACCAGAACACAGGCACCAGTCCCCTCCACCAAGAAGCCTACAAAACCCACTCAACCAACCTTATCCAATGGGGGCAGACACCAAAAACAACAGGAACCATGAAACCTGCAGACTGGGAAAAGGACACCCCAAACACAGTAAGTTAAACAAAATGAGAAGACAGAGAAATACACAGCAGGTGAAAAAGCAAGGTAAAAACCCACCAGACCAAAAAAATGGAGAGGAAATACGGAGTCTACCTGAAGAAGAATTCAGAGTAATGACAGAAAAGATGATCCAAAATCTTGGAAATGGATCAGGAATGAGGTTTGAGGAAAATACAAGAAACGTTTAACAAGGACCTAGAAGAACTAAAGAGCAAACAATGACGAACAACCCAATAAATGAAATTTAAAATTCTCTAGAGGGAATCAATAGCAGAGTAACTCAGGCAGAAGAACAGATAAGTGACCTGGAAGACAAAATAGTGGAAATAACTACCACAGAGAAGAATAAACAAAAAAGAATGAAAAGAACTGAGGACAGTCTCACAGACCTCTGGGACAACATTAAACGCACCATAATTTGAATTATAGGGGTTCCACAAGGAGAGAAAAAGAAAGGGACTAAGAAAATATTTGAAGAGATTATAGTTGAAAACTTCCTTAATATGGGAAAGGAAATAGTCAATAAAGCTCAGGAAGCGCAGAGAGTCCCATACAGGAGAAATCCAAAGAGAAACACTCCAAGACACATTAATCAAACTATCAAAAATTAAATACAAAGAAAAAATATTAAAAGCAGCAAGGGAAAAGCAACAAATAACATACAAGGGAATACCCATAAGGTTAACAGATGATCTTTCATCAGAAACTCTGCAAGCCAGAAGGGAGTGGCTGGACATATTTAAACTGATGAAAAGGAAAAAGATTACTCTACCCAGCAAGGATCTCATTCAGGTTGACAGAGAAATTAAAGCCTTTTACAGACAAGCAAAAGCTAAGAGAATTCAGCACCACCACCAAACCCGCTTTACGACAAATGCTAAAGGAACTTCTCTAGGCAGGAAACACAAGAGAAGGAAACGACCTACAATAACAAACCCAAAACAATTAAGAAAATGGTAATAGGAACATACAAATCGATAATTACCTTAAATGTAAATGGATTAAATGCTCCAACCAAAAGACACAGACTGGCTGAACGGATACAAAAACAAGACCTGTGCATATGCTGTCTACAAGAGACCCACTTCAGACCTAGGGACATATACACACTGAAAGTGAGGGGATGGAAAAGATATTCCATGCAAACGGAAATCAAAAAAAAGCTGGAGTAGCAATTCTCATATCAGACATGATAGACTTTAAAATAAAGACTACTGGGCTTCCCTGGTGGTGCAGTGGTTGAGAATCTGCCTGCCAGTGCAGGGGACATGGGTTTGAGCCCTGGTCTGGGAAGATCCCACATGCCGTGGAGCAAATAGGTCCGTGAGCCGCAACTACTAAGCCTGCGCATCTGGAGCTTGTGCTCTGCAACGAGAGGCCGCGACAGTGAGAGGCCCACGCACCGCGATGAAGAGGGGCCCCCGCTCACCGCAACTAGAGAAAGTCCTCACACAGAAACGAAGACCCAACACAGCCAAAACTAATAAATAAATAAATAAATAAAAATAAAGACTATTACAAGAGACAAAGAAGGACACTACATAATGATCAAGGGATCAATCCAAGAAGATATACCAATTGTAAATATTTATGCACCCAACACAGGAGCACCTCAATACATAAGGTGCTGTATATGCTAACAGTCATAAAAGGGGAAATCAACAGTAACACAATCATAGTACGGGACTATAACACCCCACTTTCACCAATGGACAGGTCATCCAAAATGAAAATAAATAAGGAAACACAAGCTTTAAATGCACATTAAACAAGATGGATTTAAATGATATTTATAGGACATTCCATCCAAAAACAAAAGAATACACTTTCTTCTCAAGTGCTCATAGAACATTCTCCAGGATAGATCATATCTTGGGTCACAAATCAAGCCTTGATAAATTTAAGAAAATTGAAATCATATCAATTATCTTTTCCAAACACAATGCTATAAAACTAGGTATCAATTACAGGCAAAAAACTGTAAAAAATACAAACACATGGAGGCTAAACAATACGCTACTAAATAATCAAGAGATCACTCAAGAAATCAAAGAGGAAATCAAAAAATACCTAGAAACAAATGACAATGAAAACACGACAACCCAAAACCTATGGGATGCAGCAAAAGCAGTTCTAAGAGGGAAGTTTATAGCAATACAATCCTACCTCAAGAAACAAGAAACATCTCAAATAAACAACCTAACCTTACACCTAAAGTAATTAGAGAAAGAAGAACAGAAAAAACCCTAAAGTTAGCAAAAGGAGAGAAATCATAAAGATCAAATCAGAAATAAATGAAAAAAAAATGAAGGAAACGATAGCAAAGATCAATAAAACTAAAAGCTGGTTCTTTGAGAAAATAAACAAAATTGATAAACCATTAGCCAGACTCATCAAGAAAAAAAGGGAGAAGACTCAAATCAACAGAATTAGAAATGAAAAAGAAGTAACAATTGACACTGCAGAAACAAAGGATCATGAGAGATTACTACAAGCAACTCTATGCCAATAAAATGGACAACCTGGAAGAAATGGACAAATTCTTAGAAAAGCACAACCTTCCGACACTGAACCACGAAGAAATAGAAAATATAGACAGACCAATCACAAGCACTGAAATTGAAAGTGTGATTAAAAATCTTCCAACAAACAAAAGCCCAGGACCAGATGGCTTCACAGGCGAATTCTATCAAACATTTAGAGAAGAGCTAACACCTATCATTCTGAAACTCTTCCAAAATAAAGCAGACAGAGGAACACTCCCAAACATTCTACGAGGCCACCATCACCCTGATACCAAAGCCAGACAAAGATGTCACAAAAAAAGAAAACTACAGGCCATCTATCACTGATGAAGACAGATGCAAAAATCCTCAACAAAATACTAGCAGACAGAATCCAACAGCACATTAAAAGGATCATACACCCTGATCAAGTGGAGTTTATCCCAGGAATAAAAGAATTCTTCAATATACACAAATCAATGAATGTGATAAACCATATTATCATACTGAAGGAGAAAAACCATATGATCATCTCAAGAGATTCAGAAAAAGCTTTCGACAAAATTCAACACCCACTTATGATAAAAACCCTGCAGAAAGTAGGCAAAGAGGGAACTTACCCCAACATAATAAAGGCCATATATGACAAACCCACAGCCAACATCGTTCTCAATGGTGAAAAACTGAAACCATTTCCTCTAAGATCAGGAACAAGACAAGCTTGCCCACTCTCACCACTATTATTCAACACAGTTTTGGAAGTTTTGGCCACAGCAATCAGAGACGAAAAACAAAAAAAGGGATCCAATTGGAACAGAAGTAAAACTGTCACTGTTTTCAGATGACATGATACTATACATAGAGAATCCCAAAGATGCTACCAGAAAACTACTAGAGCTAGTCAATTAATCTGGTAAAGTAGCAGGATACAAAATAATGCACAGAAATCTCTTGCATTCTTATACACTAATGATGACAAATCTGAAAGAGAAATTAAGGAGAGACTCCCATTTACC